GAACATCAAACAGAACATCAATCAGAACATCAATCGGAACATCAAACAGAACATCAAACAAAACATCAACCAGAACATCAAACAGAACATCAATCGGAACACCAATTGGAACATCAATTGGAACACCAATTGGGACATCGAATTTTTGAGTCTAAATTTCATTTGTTGACGCCGGAGCAACAAAGAAGTCTTCTTAAGTATAAAGAAAATTTAAGTAGAACAGCTACAGAAAATCAGGACGAGCAGTGGTGTGCCAGTAAAATAAAGTCATACGTCTCACCGAGTTCCCAGTGGTTGGACCATCAGGCATATTTAAGTATAATGGCAGAAAACAATATGGAAACGATCGGAACTTCAAACCAAGACACGATAACAGAATTAAAAAATATTATTGGTGATTTGCAGAGGCAACTCACCATGCAGGCAGAGAATCAACGAAGAACAGTTAACGAAATGATAAGCAATTATTTTTTACAAAACCCAGACAATCACAACCGACGGAACACAGAACATCAAATCAGTCTACAGGATGCGATTAGACTGTTGCCGGAGTCATTTGATGGACACGATACGGAACATCTCGATATATTTCTAGAGAAATGTGAATTTGCGGTATCTTGTGTGGTTCCAACAGCCAAACCATCGCTTTTAAAAGCCATTCTGACGAAATTAGTCGGGAAAGCCCGACAAGTCACCAAGTATAGAGAGTTTAAATCATGGACAGAGTTGCACGACACACTAAAGGCAAATCTAGAACCTCAACGAACAACACCACACTTATACCTAGAGCTATACGCAACTAAGCAGAAACCAGGCGAAGACGTGCTGGTCTACTCCATGAGAGTAGAACAATTACAGAACTGCATTATCGAGCAGGAGACCACGGGTCTCTCTGCAGAAGTAGCACAAGCAATGGAGAAGTCTATTAAGCAGCAGACTATCCAAGTGTTCATGGAAGGTTTAGGCGAACTTAAACACTTCATCAAAGCAAGAAACCCAGAAACTCTTGATAAGGCTGTACAGATAGCCAGAGAAGAGGAACGTGTACGGACATCAACCAAGGACACTAGGCAATTGTTTAAAGCCAGCTCTAGCAACCGACCAACAGAACATCATGAGTCAGGTCGCACAATTCCGACATGTTTTATTTGTGGACGGACCGGACACGTAGCTCGAAATTGTACGACATCTGACAATAATCCGAAACAATCCACCTCTACACCTAAAGGGAATCTGGCATCGAATAACCAACAAAAATCAAATGTAAACAGACCATCTCGAAACGCAGCCGAAGTCAAGCCGATCGTCTGCAACTATTGTAAAAAAATCGGCCACAAGTTAGCCGACTGTAGAAAACGAGCATACGTAAATTCCAAGAACAACACCAATGAAGTATCAGAACATCGTCAGGGAAACGGGGATCGCTCGGGTCAAGGCGGTACCCCGGCAGCCAAGATACAAGCCGCCATAGTTCAGTTCGACGAGTAAACATATGCTACACGGACCTCATCGACAACTACATCATCGTTAAATCTGAGCAGACTCTCGTTAATGAACTCAAACTCTTAGTTGACACGGGTAGTGATCTGAATCTCATAAAATTATCCGTGTTACAACCGAACGCCTTAGTCGATGAATCCGTCAAATTTCGTTTGTTAGGTATTAATGACCATTTTGTCCAGACCCTCGGGAAAATCAAATTAGATATACAAATCGGTGATAAGGTCATACCTACAGATTTTCATGTTGTTCAACCTCAATTTAAAATATTAAACGAAGGTATTCTTGGAAAACCGTTTCTGAAAAACAATAACTCTTTTATAAATTTCAAAGAAAACAAGCTGTCGTTGGGGGAATCAACAGAAGTAATCTTGCCTCCACGTACAGAATCTATAGTCGCCATATCAGTCTCAGAAAATCTTAATAAACAGACTCTCATTATTCACTCGCAAAATGTAATAGACAATGTATATTATGGTAATACTGTCAATCAAGTTCAAGATAATCGCATTTTAGTTTCCGTCATTAATTCTGCAGACCATCCTGTTATACTTCCAACTACTAAACTCGAAAATTTCCAGTACGAAATTTTTCAAGAAGCATCCACGCACGTAGTGCAATCAGGACAACATCCATTCCCTACAGCTAGGGCAGACCGAATACGACTCTTGAAAGAAAATCTCCGTACAGAACATCTTAATTCCGAAGAAAAACAGTCAATAGAAGAAATATGTCTTAATTATTCCGATATCTTTTATCTAGAGGGGGACTCCCTCTCGTGTACTGACGCTGTTTTCCATGAAATTAATATTCCTGCAAATGCTCAACCAATAAATCAACGTCCATATCGCTTACCACTGAAGCACAAGCAAGAAATAAATGAGCAAATGGAAAAACTCGAAAAAGATCAGATCATCGCACCAAGTAAAAGCCCGTGGAACGCGCCTTTACTTGTTGTCCCTAAAAAACCAGACCAGAACGGTGTCGTCAAATACCGTGTCTGTGTAGATTTTAGGAAGCTTAAGGACATCACCACAGGGGATGCGTACCCACTACCTAATATGTCAGACATATTAGATCAGCTGGGGAAGTCCAAATACTACACCACTCTTGATTTGGCCCAGGGTTATCACCAGGTCCAAATGAATCCAGAACATCGAGAAAAAACCGCTTTCAGCACCGACAAAGGACATTTTGAGTTCCTCAGAGTTCCTTTTGGTCTGAAAGGCGCTCCCGCGTTATTCCAACGTCTCATGAATACCGTACTAACTGGTATTATCGGTTTAAAGGCTTTCGTCTATTTAGATGACATTATCGTGTACGCTGCTAGCGTCACTGAACACACGAGAAAACTAACGGATGTTTTCACCAGAATCCGAAAATTTAATTTAAAACTTCAACCCTCGAAATGCGAATTCATGCGTAAAGAAGTTACCTATCTGGGGCATGTCATCACAGATCAAGGTGTGAAACCAGACCCTCGTAAGACCAAATGTGTTCTCGATTTTCCAGTCCCAACTAATGCAAAGCAAGTGAAATCTTTTCTTGGGTTATCTGGCTACTATCGCCGTTTTGTACCAAATTACGGACACATAGCAAAACCCCTGACGTCTATTTTAAAACAGGATGTACCTTTTATTTGGTCCGATATATGCCAAGACTCGTTTGAGACACTTAAACGAGTACTCACCTCAGAACCTCTGCTCCAGTATCCGGATTTCACTAAGCCTTTTAATCTGACATGCGATGCGAGTGGCTTCGCTATTGGTTGTGTTTTGTCCCAAGGGCCCGTGGGAAAGGACTTGCCGATCGCTTATGCGTCTCGTACTCTTAACAAGGCTGAAACCAATTACAGCACTACTGAAAAAGAACTTTGTGCCATCGTGTGGGGAATTAAGCAATTTCGTTGCTATCTGTTTGGCCAAAAGTTCAATATCATCACAGATCATCGAAGTTTAGTCTGGTTATTTGGAATAAAGGACCCTGGTTCACGGTTAACGCGTTGGAGACTCAAGTTAGAAGAATACCAATACGAAATTTTCTACAAATCAGGTACAAGCAATACTAATGCTGATAGTCTTAGTAGAATACAGCGAGTGGTAACACGATCAGAAACTGAAGCAAACAATCGGATGTCAACTGACGTTGATGAAGAGGTACAACAGCCTAGCTACTCAAATGAACCGTCGACCTCTCATTTTGTTTCAGACATTGAAACTAATACAGAACCTCCGTCTAATCAGTCATACGAAGAATTCTGTAAACTAGAATCTTCAGATATTCCGTCAACATCAAACGTCAAAGAAGTATCTGGAGATCTTTTTTCCTCTGATCCAGAATGGGCTTTAGCTCATTGCGTTTCAAGTGATTTCAAAATGACTAAAGGAATTGCACTTCAATTCAGAAGAAAATTCGGTCAAATCAAAACACTCAAGAATCAAGGAAAACAAATCGGTGAAATAGCGTTTGTGAAACAAAACTCTCGTTATATCATATATCTCATTACAAAAAATCGTTCGTTTAACAAACCACGTTACGAACATATCTACCAATCTATACAGAACCTAAGAAAATTCTGCGTGGAGCATCAAATAACCAAGGTAGCCATGCCGCAAATCGGATGTGGGCTTGACAAACTTGACTGGACAACAGTTCATGGGATGTTGCGCCATATTTTCAGATCCTCCACAACATGTATACATGTATACGATAAAATGAAATTAACCTCAGAACAACAGCAGAAACTTATAGAGGAGCATCATAATAATCCTTTAGCAGGACATCAAGGTACTGAGAGAACATACCAGTTGCTAAAAACCAACTACTCATGGGATGGCATGAGACAACAAGTTGCAGACTATGTTCGGAAATGTCCACAGTGCCAAGTCAATAAACATTCCAACAAGTCAGCACGTGAACCCATGGTTATCACCACTACATCCAGCGAACCGTTTGAGAAAGTTTTCATGGATATAGTTGGCCCACTTCCACGCTCGCATAGTAATAATGTTTATATTATTACACTACAAGACGATTTAACAAAATTCTCTTGGGCTGTCCCCGTAGAGAACCATGAAGCCGCTACGGTTGCTCATCAGTTCGTTACTCAATTTGTTTGTCTGCATGGTTTACCTCAAAGTTTGGTCACAGATTGTGGCACCGAATTCTTAAGCAATGTTTTTTCTGAAGTTTGTAAGACGCTTAAAATCAAGAAGACATCAACCAGTCCGTATCATCCACAAAGCAACGGAGCTTTAGAACGTAGTCATAAAACTTTAGGAGAATACTTGCGAAACTTTGTTGACAAAGACCATCTCACGTGGGACACCTTAGTGCCACACGCCATGTTCATGTACAATGCAACCGTTCACAGCTCAACAGGTTTTCAACCGTACGAATTAGTTTACGGTCGAAAAATCAGTATACCTACGTCTTTTACAAAGAATCCAGAACCTCAGTATAAGTATAATGATTATCAGTTCGAACTCAAACGACAAATGCAAGAAGCGCATGCTGTTGCCCGAGATCGTCTCCTTAAATCGAAAGAAAAGTCCAAACAGTCTTATGACCGAGGCGTTTCCCAACAGAACCTCAGTGTAGGCGACAAAGTTTATATGAAAGCGTCGGGAACACAAAACAAACTCAGCCCGCTTTGGCATGGACCGTATGAGGTCCTGGAACTCTTAGACAATAATGTTAATATAGCAATTAAGCGGAGGGGCAAACGTCAAATTGTACATCGAAATCTTGTTAAATTACATTACTCATAAGACGATTATTTTCTCTTTCTCTCAGGATACCAGTATACGCTGAACTTCAAGAATCATTTCCAGCCGTCCTAGCTAACAAAATATCATTTCCAAACCATACAGGAATGTATTATGAATATCAATCAAAATCCAGACTCTCAAATTTCGATTGGTCTTTAATAACATTCGTTGATCTTTCATCTTATGAATCGAAATTCCAGATGTTATCCTCATGGTATAACGAAACTACTCAAGTTTGCAGCAATTTAAAGCAAAAACTCAGTATGTCCGAATTCTCGCAAGCTTGTCAACAATTTGAACAAGCCACTTTGCCGTATCTTTTCGAAATTGAAGCAAACCATGATAGTATTTGGTTAGGATTGGGTCTAAATACCTCAGGCACTCACAAAAGAGTAAGAAAAAATATTATTACAAAAGGAGCGGAAATTCTTTTTGGTAGTAATCCATTATTCAATACTGAGTCCATCTTCCAGAAAATTATCGAATTCGTTAAAACTAAAGTTGTAGATACGGACTTGACTAACAACAAAATCCGTCTGTTACAGACATCTACATCAGAGATTACTAGAAAAGCTAGTGATCTCTCTGCGCATCAGAATAAAATCGAGACTAACATCAAAATCCTCAGTAGCCAAGTCCAGAAATCTATGCAAACAGTGAACATCTTGTTAACTAAAACTACATTGATAGAACAATCACTTTTATTTACAATACTCCTGAATCAATATGCGTATGAAACTCAATCACTTATTGCAATTCTCAACTCTGCTATGCATGGCAGAATACATAGCACAGTTCTACCACCGTCCAAATTATTACGCGAACTTCGTGAAATCCAACTAACCCTTCCGACAGGTACTCAATTACCTCTAACGCCTAGTAAACAGAACATCCCGAAATATTTCCAAATCTCGACTACAACGGTCCTAACAAAGGATAAATTCCTTCTGTTTTCACTCACTTTTCCAATAGCGACGATTGACGAATATACTCTTTATCGACCTGTTCCCTTACCACATTATGTAATTAATAATAATGCTATACTTATCTCACCTACTGCTGACTACATAGCGTTAAGCGACGATAGCGAATTCTATTTTACTTTAAACACCGCTCAGCGTGAAGCATGTCTAGTTTTACAACCGTATACATTATGTAAGGGCAACCTGCCAATTAACCACAAAGCATCATCCAAATTATGTGAAATATTATTACTAAAATCTCCACAAACCATCCCTAACTCTTGTAATATTAAATACATATCTTTTGATTTTACAATTTGGAACCGGTTATCACAATCAGATTCTTGGATATATTGTACGCGATCTGAACTTATCACCTTAAATTGTAAATATCCTTTGCGCACATTTCAATTTTATATAACAGGTATTGGTCGAATAATGATATCCCCATCATGTACTATACATACGGAAAATGCAATATTGTTACCTACCCGTAATGAATTTATCAATCAGACTCTCGATGTTATTCCAGAATCTATTTCTTTTGGTATACCACCTACAATACTGACAACCCTAAATCTTGTACAACCACAGAGCCTCAATCATGTACGCGTGTCCAATGACCTTTGTCAAATCAGTAAAGAATCTCTTAACTTAGACAACTTAGATAAGCTACCAGACGATTCTGTCTTCATTGTTACCTTAGGTCATCATATATATATTGTATATTCATGTATTTTTATACTATGTATAGCTATAATTATAGTTACAGTTAAATGTAAAAATCGGGTAATCCATGTATATGTACCGAAAATCGCGGAGCCTCAATCCGAAATCGCAGACCATCCTTTTTGAATTGTATAATTCAATGCTCTAGTGAGACAGTAGTGACCATGTGGCCCCTATGTCTCATTTAGGGTGGGGAGTGTTACGAACCCCTGTCTTGGGCATATTATTATAATATGTTTTTTATGTATGTGTAAATAATTTCTGTTAGAATAAGAACATCAGGAATTGGTGTTGGCCACGGCCGAGTCGAATGGAATTTGCTGACTTAGGGATTTCGCCCTAGCCAGACGGCTCGGGCCGTGCCCACCACCAACGGGGATTAGTCGTGTAACTACCGTCAGTGAATCGTGTCACACAGAGTATCTGTTTTACAGAGCATCTATGTTTCCAGAGTATCTATGTTTTTGAGAACATCTTAATTAAATGTAAATTGTGTATTATCAGAAAATCTTGTTTTATTCGTGTATTTGTGTGTTACATTAAAATACAAACAGAAAATCCGCCGATACGTTGTGTAATTACTGACTTTTACCCTAATAATCGTCCTACCCCGTGGCTTACGTTACAACACTAACATAAACAGTATGCCATGTTTGAAGTAATTTTATTGATATGGTTTTACTATAAGTTATTCATAATAATATTTTAACTTTATTCAGTCTTATAAAGGTATGAATTGTACAACCGATGTATAATGAACAGTCAGCTAAATATTTATTTTTTAATCAACAAAGTTTTCCTCTTCATTTTTTTATACTTAATGCCCTGATCTTTTATCATCTAATAACTATTCATTGATTAAGTCCGGGGCCAACGAGAAAAACCACAGTGGACTTTTGTGTAGAAAAACTAAGTCCTCTTGTAAGGCCCCATTGATACACTATTTTGAGAACTTCCTCTATTCTGTCAACAATAAGATGGCAAGTCCTTTTGGCTACCAAAAAAGCTGCGTCATCAGCGTAAGCTTGTATTCTTGCGTGCGAGGGTAGCTCAGAAAGAAGAAGATCTTCTATGGTGATTGACCATAGAACCGGCCCAAAGAGCGAGCCTTGTAAACATACTTTTGCAAGAGTGTCCGTTTTTCTCACCCCACCGAGTCACAATAGGTACTAAACGGTGTGGGCACGCCAATACCGGTAAGTAAGCGTATTTTCTTCACCAAATAAATATAACGTGCTTTCGGAAGAAGGTACAGAACATGACACGATTATGTTCGAAACAGCATCGAACGACAATATCAAACAAACTATTAACGCACATCGTCCGCCTGCATTATTCATAAATAATGATACACATTTTTCAACATTGCACAAAGACTTGGTCTCGATTGGACTAGGTAAGTTTTCATTTAAGTCTACGAAATCTCACCTGATTGTCACAAGGGGAAATTTAGAAGATCATAATTGAAAATATAATTTTCATACATATTTGCCAAAATCAAACAAACCCTTTAGCATAATTATAAGACATTTACATCACTCAACTCTCGTAAATGACATATCTACTGCTTTAAAGCAACACGGTCACACAGTCATACGTGTTACCAATATTTTAAGCCCAAGGACAAAACTCCCACTTCCTCTTTGGAGAATTGATTTAGAACTATCTGATTACAACACAAAGATATTGAATATTTCATCTTATCTAAGTACACGTGTTAAGATTGAAAAACCACGAAAGCATAACACTATTCCTCAGTGCATTGTCAATCTTACTTTCATACCAAACATTTTTGTTCTCATCAACCACGTTGCGTAAAATGTGAGAGAAACCATTCTTCAACAGAATGTCAAAAATCTCGAGAATCAACAGCCAAATTCGTGCCCTTTGCAACGAAGTCCATACGGCGAACTACATGTAAAATCTATAAAAAATTCGTAACTATAAGAAAATCGAAAACCATTGGAGACCTTAATCGAAAAAAACCCAAAACAAACAGTGAACTTGCTACTCAATTTCCATTACTGATCTCACTCTCTACCGCGCATACACTAATTCAATCATCGTCATCACAGGCCCGTTCATATGCATCAATTGTTGGAAATGTCAATATCGTTCAAACAACGTCTCTCCCGATCGCCGATGCCAACGTTTCTAGAAGAATTTAGAGCGATTATCAATCCATTGATTTCTCTTTTAACTTCCACTCTGCAGGTATTAACTGTCAGTCTACAAAATAATAAACCATTCGTTATCTAAGAATTGTTTTTTTTCTCATTTTTATTCAGTCAAATTAATGTATTTTCTCTTTTTATTTTATTAAGAACATTAATTGTAATAATATCTATCGATGTCGAGCCGTAATACTTTTTGGTAAAAGCTAACAAAAAAAAAAAAAAAGATTGGCCAGTACGATTTCGGGAAATTAGGGTCCTTGGCTGGTCTTTTCTTTATTACAACCAAATCCACTTTTTACCGTGCCTGAGGAAATGTATTGGACTCGAAGCAATCAATGACAATTTTATAGAGATGCATACCAATTTATGATGAACCTTATTTGGCTGTTTTAAAGCGTGTGGCGATATCTAATTTAAATATCTTAGAAAACAATTTAAATAATGATTTTGCCGCTAAAATGTTAGAGTAAACGGTAAGATGTTGTTGCAATAGCACGTTTTCTTACCCTGAAGACCCTTTTGCATAACACTGAGAAAAACTAAAATCGCTCTAACTTAGTGAGCAAAGAGAGTATCGTCTTGAATTCGACATCAATCCTCTCATTCAACTATTTTAAAACGATATATGTGGGCTTCACAAAAAACGAACACGAATTATATTGAATATAACTAATATTATGTATTTGGGTCATGGAATATAAGTATGTTATACCTAAGTAATAAAAATAGTATAACCTTATATGGTAGTATATGCGAACAAAATAGAAATCTTTATGTAATATTTAAAAGTTGTTTAATACAAGGACCAATTTCATTTATGACCTAGATTATATCACATATAAGCCATAGTATTAAGGTGTTGGATTATCACTCTATTACGGACATTGTTATAACTGTAACGTACGCTGTATATACTATTCTTTATATTTATACTGTGTGTTTTACGGATCGATTCAGAACGGATTTAGATTTGGATCGACTTGAAGAACTGAAAATAATGGTAAACGACATGAATCAATTACTTGTTGAATTTACCACAGCCTTCTTGCAAGATCTCATAGTAAACGATTGACAAAAATGAATTTTTAGCGTTAACGAAAAAGTCTTAGGGACATCAGTATTTATAAGTAAAGCCTTAAAAGCAAACACTACTAAAGCACTGGCAGTTATGGAATTATGTGACATAGAATGAAATCCAGTTTGGCTAAATCCCATAAATTCCACGTATTATTTAATGTATTTCATTTAATTATACGGACGAATGTGCAATATAAATACAATATAATAGTAGCAGTAGTACCACAAATATATAAATAATAACTGAAACATAAAAATAGAGAACACTATAAGAATATAACTGAATACAATATAGAAAATAGTTTTATATAAAAACAATAAAGAGAATATAAATCACATAAACAGGGAATTTTTGGCTAATTTATCGCAAGAGACATAAATTATATTTTATTGGATGATTTGGCATATTGTAGTTCTGAGGTAAATGATGCATAATAAATAATTGGTTGTTCCGAACATTATGATTGTTTACTTTAAAGTTTATTAGGCTAAGAAGAAAAGAATCAGCAATTTCATTATTAAGAAACATAAAAAGACGAGTTCAGCATGCAGCGACTACGTGAATTTAAGGATTCCATTTTTAAGATACTAAGAAAATTTTCATACACAGAATGAAGGGTTTTATTTTGAATATAAAGCAAATAAATTTAAGGACTTTATTTTGTATTTTCTCTATAATACGATATAATATTAAGAGTATAATATAAAGATTTTAAAAATTGCTTTTATATATGTAACAAAGTTTTAGCTGTCAATAATAAAGTTCTGAGTCTTTACAACTAAATCTAAATAATAATGATTATTCAGAAATTCCTAAAATCTAGCAAGACTCGACAAGGACAAAACAAGAATAAACACAATTAAAAGTTTGCAAAAAGTCTTACATTTATTATCAATCATAAAATCAAACGAAATGTTTCATTTTAAGTGAATACAAGTAACATAACAGTAAAATATTTAATAAATAGATAGGTACTTGATAACTTTCAATCTTGGTAAGCGCAAAAATAACCAAAACTATAATTATATTTTGAATGTGTTAAGTGACTTGAGCTCGAGCTGGTGCCTCCAAATACACACAGCGAAAATCCTACAGCAAAAAAGAGTTATAAAAAAGTTTTAAAAAAAAAATACATATATCAATTGTACTAACTTTGCCTACTGAATTGCGAAAGCCAGTAATACGAATGTACAGTATCAACCTGGCATCAAAGTCCAACACCTGCCAAGATCGTGCCAGCTCCTCAGATTTGTCTACAAGGATTTCCCAATATTCATTATCAACAGAGGCTTCAATTTTGTAACCGTAGGCTTGGTCATTGCCACCCCAAAGCAGCATCCTGGCAATTGTGGCAATAATAATATTGTCTTAGTTCAATATCTATATATATATTTATAAAAATTCAGCTTGCAGAACTCAAAAAGAAAACGGTGGATTTTGATGCGTTTTTTTTTTATTATCATTTAAAAAATGTATTCCGAAAAGTTTTCATGGATTAAATTTTAATATTATAATGTCAAGGAAAAACTAAAGAGACATAAAATCATATAATAACTAGAGATATAAGTCTCTAGTTATTATAGTTTGGCCTTAACGTTGATTAATAATTCAAATTTTCTCCCCCTATTTTACATCCTAAAGTGTGGAAGTTCTAACAATCCATTCTTAATGCATGCTTACATTATAAGACGACTATCCTTTAACGTGAGTTAGAAGCAATCACTATGATAAAATATGAAATATATAATTAATGTGTTTAAAAAAAATTAAAATCAAAGTTAAAATCTTATTTTTTTTTTTTAAAAGTTGCTTACAAAAGTTTAAAACAAATTTTACAGTATGATGATGAATGATGATTAGGTATGATAAGAACAATAGCCCTATCTTATGTTACTGATATTATCTTTTATAAGTTAAACTTAAAAAAACCAAAAAAAACTTGAATGTTGGGAGGGTATTTAACTTGCAATTCTTTTCACAGGCAACGCCGTACGAGTCATCAATTATTCATTTTTCGATGTAAACGGGATAAACGAGTTATAAATTAGAGCATAATATGTTATAATTGTAATTTGGTATAAATAAATAATTGTATATCTTGCTTGAAAAACTTCGCAATATTATACTACAAGATGGCACGGGCAACGCCATGCAGGTACAGCTAGTAATTAATAAAAGTCACGAATAACAGATACTGCGGCCAATATCTTATTTATGCTATAAATATCCTGTAAATGTTCTAATTAAAATTAGAATCAAAATGATTTAAATTTTGTTATTTTTTTTAATGTTATCTATTTGCTAATTGTTTTAATGAACTACAGTCCAGTTTTAAAATATAAAAATAAACAAGAATTTATACTGTATTGATAAGTTTAGCTAGTACAAATGCAATAATACAAATTGAGGCAATGAGTGCAATCCTGAGAAATAAATTAGGATCTTCGAAAAGACATACAATTTAATTAAGTA